CCAAGTAAGAGCGTGTTGTTACATTTAGCACGCTGCTCCATGGTTTGTGTCTTGAAGATAGGATTTTCGAAGCATTAGRTTTGTTTGATCATATGGTTGAAACGAAATGTAAACCCGATGTCATAACTTTTTCCACACTGATAAACGGTCTATGCCGAGAGGGTCGAGTTCCCGAAGCAGCAGCTCTGTTTGTTCGGATGCTTGAAATSGGWTGTGRACCYYATGTCATAACATTRAKCACYRTGATYAARGGTRTCTGTCTAGAAGGTCGAGTGAACGAGGCACTAGCTTTGGTRGATAAGATGGTGGAAAATGGTCATGAACCTGATGCTGTTACGTATGGAACTATTGTAAATGGCATGTGTAAGATGGACGACACTATGTCAGCCTTGAATCTGATATGGAGGATTGAGAAAAGCCACATCAAAGCCACTGTAGTGATGTATAATGCCATCATTGATCGTCTTTGCAAAGACGGACATCATACCGATGCTCAAAATKTTTTCCGTGAAATGSACGAGAWAGGAATTGTGCCAAATGTGTTTACCTARAACTGTATGATAGACGGTTATTGCAGCTCTGGTAGATGGAGTGATGCAATACGATTGCTGCGTGATATGATTAAAAGCGAAATCAATCCTGATATTTTCACTTTCAACGCATTGATCAATGCATTTGTCAAAGAAGGGATGTTCTCTGATGCTGAAGAATTCTACAAACAGATGCTCCGTAGGGCGACACCGTGTCAGCCTTGAATCTGCTTAGGAAGATTCAGGACAGCCACATCAAAGCCAATGTTGTAATCTATAGTGCCATCATTTATCGTCTTTGCAAAGATGGACATCATACCGATGCTGAAAATCTTTTCAGTGAAATGCACAAGATTACAAGGGAAATCAATCTTGATGTTGTAACTTTCAGCGCATTGATCAATGCATTTGTCAAAGAAGGGATGCTCTTTGATGCTGAAGAATTCTACAAACAGATGCTCCGTAGGGGTATATTTCCTAATACGATCACCTATACCTCAATGATTAATGGATTTTGCAAGCATGATCGTCTAGATGATGCGAAGCGCATGTTTGATTCAATGGTTAGCAAGGGCTGCTCTCCAAACGTAGTCACTTATACTACGCTCATTGATGGCTACCGTAAGGCTAAGAGGGTAAACGATGGGTTGCAACTTCTCCACGACATGGCTCGGAGAGGATTGGTTGCCAATACAGTTTCTTACAGTACTCTTATTCAGGGTTTCTGTCTAGTGGGTGATCTTAGTGCCGCTGAAGACCTTTTCCAGGAGATGATTTCTCATGGTGTGTGCTGTAATATCGTAACTTATAGCATTTTTCTGGATGGTCTCTGCAAGAATGGGAAACTGGAAAAGACACTGGAAATGTTCGAGGCTATGCAGAAGAATAAGATGGCTCTTAATACTGTTATTTACAACATCATCATCCATGGATTGTGCAAGGGTAACAAGGTGGACGAAGCCTGGGACTTATTTTGTAGTCTCCCCATCGATAGTGTMGAGCCRGYTGTTCAAARTTACAYTARAATGATKTCTGGGTTTTGTGGYAAAGGTGCAGTTTCTGAGGCAAATGCACTATTCCAGAAAATGAAGGACAGTGGACATGTACCAAATGACTGCACATACAATACATTAATCAGAGGACGTCTTAGAGCCAGTGAATTTGATGCAGCAGCTGAACTTATGAAGGAAATGCGAAGCAACGGGTTCTGTGGAGATGATTCCACCGTGAAATTGTTAGCTGATATGATATCTGACGGTAGATTGGACAAGAGCTTTTTGGATATGCTGTCTTAGTGTTTTGTGTTGTATTGTTCTTGTTCCCTCTACGGTATGTCCTACTCACTTGTGTCTCTTTGTTTGTCTTCTTTTTGGATTTGTCAATGCTAAATGTAACATGTAAGAGGATTTTGCAAGGTTTCAGCTTCTGGAGTTGTCAAGATGTTGCTCAAGAAAAGTGGCTGAAGAACAATTAACGTGGTTAGTTGTTACACGTTTTGTCTTGCCTTCTCTAGATTACACGAAATCATGAGAGCTTAATCGTTATGGCAAAAGTGAGCCCAAATGTTATTGTATCTGAGTTTCGACTAGCTTGGGTATTTGTTTTTGTACTCGAAGTTTGAAACTTTACTCATGAAATAGGGATCAAATCTCAGTGACAGAAGGTCTTGTTTGAAAGATATAGAGAAAGTTTGATGTTCAATTCAATCAATAAATCTTCCTATGACACATCAAAGTCAGAATGTTGAAGTCTTTCCTTCTAATGTTGCATACAAGTTCATAAATCATAACCTGAACAGAGATGATACATTACATTACAAGGGTTTCCCATCAAAAACTTGTTTCGTCATTTAACTCAAAATTATATCAGACCTTGATAAATTTGAAATTCAAATGCATTGGGATTGAAACATAACAATTGTGAGGCTAGTTTCATCACATTCATTTTTGTATTGACATTTTTAACAATCACAATTAGCAACTAGACAATTCAGTGTTTAGTAGCATTACATAGTCCTAAGTTAACATGAATGCAGCAAAGTATCCTGCGTTTGATACAAAATCCTACACTTAGGCTTAATCAATTACTTCGTCTCGAGGAAAATATTTTGGAATTGATCTGATATAATCTACTCCATAACGAAAGCATCCACGGATCAAGAGTTCCTTCAAACCTGGAAAATAAAGAAAACACCAAATTTATGTTGAAAACGAATGTGAAACAAAATAGAAAGTGGTTTCCACAGCTTATTGCAAACAGAGGAATTGTAATTACCTAGTTAACTATGAAAAACGTTCACCAAATATTTCATAATATCACAACCTTTATATATGTTCTTAGTGACTAATATAATAATAATTTTTTTAATATATGAAAAAGAATAAAAAAA